TCGTGTTGAAAGCAAAAAGGATCTAAAACCAAAAAAAAATATAAATACATTGTTAATCATAACCAAATTTATGATTCGAAAAATAATTTTGAAATATTGTAAGAGTTTTTTATACCTGAGCGCACTTGTGCACAAGGGTATTATAACTTTGTTCACATAACGGTTGTTTGTAACAGGCAAAACGAATCGAGATAGATATAGACAAATGTATACATAAATGATCAGAATGAAAAGAGAAATCGATTAAGCGGTGACTGTCTGTCCGTCCGTCCGTCCGTCCGTCTGTGCACACGATAACTCGAGTAAAAATTGAGGTATCTTAACGAAACTTGTTGCGTGGACTTCTTTTGGGCGTAGAACGGATGGTATTGAAAATGGCCGAAATCGGACAATAACCACGCCTACCACCCATATAACGGTAACTTTCAGAAATACGAAAACTGCGATATTTTAGTAACTACTGAAGATAAATCATTCAAAATTGATATTTACAATGAGTTTTAGACGAAAAATAAGAATATTAAAAATTTTTGCCAACTGGGCGTAGCCACGCCCACTTATGGTTACATGTGTATATCTTGGTAATCGCTGCACCAATTTCTTCCACACTTGGCACCGTTGTAGATCCAGGTACAGCATACCAAATGGCCAAATTTTTAAAATCGGACAATAACCACGCCCACATCCCATATAATGGTAATTTCGAGAAATACGAAATCCTCGATAAATCAGTAAATATTAAAGCTAATTTATTCAAAATTGATGGTTGCAACAATTCTTTACCTTTCTGATAAAATTTTGGAAACTGGGTAACCGTTCTACCAATTTGTACCAAACTCGGTATGGTTATTGTGCTTGCCACATAAAAGCAAACCGCTGAAAATTGTTGAAATCGGACTAAAATTACGGCCGCTTTTCATATAACGGTAAATTGCAAAAATGCTTTAAATTTCAATATTTCGAGATTTGAGGATGCTAGTTTACTTAAAATTTATACACCCGCTTATCATGTAGCGGTAGCTTTCGGAAAGTTGGAAAACATATATTTAATACTTGCGCCGGGTATTTAATGTTCGGCTCCGCCCGAACTTGGACTTTCTTACTTGTTTTTTTTTTTGGATTTTAAAGTTAAAGTTTCATTTACTTACAGTAACGAACAAAAGTATTGGCACAGTGAATTTTACGCAATATAGGCAAAGTATTTTTTAGAAGAATTTATTCAGTTTATTAATCCGTTCAGTTTTGGTTTATCAAAGTGCAAGTTTGAAGTTGCTGGAAAATCTGAATATAAAATTGCAAATGCAGATTAATTGAATTTTCCTGAGTTTTGCACAAAGTTTACACATTTGATTTTTATGTGTATGGTATAGTACGAACTATGTTTTTATAAAAAATTATCGGAAATAAATTAAAAACTTTGCATATATATAATGCGAAAATTTACTGTGCCAAAACTTTTGTTCGACACTGTTACAATAGTAAAATATATGTAATTGGCTTTGTAGTGCAATCTTGCGGTTCTTTAAAAAAAAAATAGATATCAGAAATTTATTTTTCTTATCAATGAACTCCCAAGCACAGGTTTGTATTAAAAAAAATATAGCCGTAACACTTTATTAAATATTAATCTACATATTTTTTTAATTCGTCGGAATATTTTTTTTAATGTATGTTACCGGATAACTTTGGGCTACGATATCCGTTTTCTACAATTCTTTTTTAAAAGAAAGGTTGTTCCTCAGAGGTAGTCACCTACTGACTGAATGTAGATCTGATAATTGGGCCATAAAGAAAATAACGGTACTCTTAAATTTGTATATGAAAACTGAAGTCGGTTTTGTTTTTTGTTTAAAATTTACTCCAGTGTCCACAGCTTCTATAAAAGAGTCGTAGGCCATATTTTTTTGTTAGTTCAATTGTGGAACATTGGTATGAACTGCTTCGGCTAATATGTACTTCGGCTTTTGCTCTCTTTTTATATCGAGGCTAAGTGCATTGTTCGATTGGGTGATATCATTGCCAAACATGATAGTACTTTGTTTGCCTTCAATGAACACTAACTTGACGGAGTTACACTATTCTACATTGATGGGAGCCTCAAAAGCTTTGAATAATAATTGCGAGTATGGCTTTTAGTTTTTACCGCTCAGGTAGGTGACAGGCCTATAGAAAATATTTCTTAATCAATAATTTTTCAAATACTTTTCCTTTGACAGCTATATTATTATACATACTTTATCTTATTAACTTTATTGAATTAAATTTTCGAAATTGGTGGCAACTCGACTCAAAAATATTTTCAGTAGTAAGCCTTCTTAAACCTTTTTAGTTTGATACCTATATTGCAATATTTAATTTATCTTACCAATTTAATTTAATAAAATTTTGAAACAGGTGGCAACCCCCCTCAAAAATATTTTCGCCTGCAAGCCTCCATAACCTCTTTCTTTTGACACCCATATTGCAATATCTAATTTATGTCATTAATTTACTTATACTGAAATTTTTAAACAGGTGGCAAATCTCTATTTTTTTCTCGTACATACATACTTTTTGTCTCCTTCCCTCACTTCCAACGCATGCACGTGTTTGCAAAACGATGACGAAATGATTTTGTATGGGAAATCATTTACGCCCAAATATTTGAATCAAATAAACATACTTAGAAAATATCAACTAATACTTCCCATATACTAAACAAAAGGAAAACTCTTGAATTTTTGATTAAGGAAAACAAAAACCAAATTATTCGAGCTGTTTTTGAGCATTTTGGTAATACAAAAAATTTGGAAATTTTTTCAAAAATTGTTTGCCTTAAAATGCTCAATATTTGTTGAATTTATATAAAATCTGTACACGATAATATTTCTATTGCTCCATAGAGTCTATATCTCGAAAATGAAAGTCATATCTGCAAATCATAAGCTGCTGGAGCACTTTAAAGGCTTAAAATTGACCCCAATAGGGAAATATTTGCCGTTGTTTCTAGGACAGACACCGAATCGGTTACTTACATAAATATATCTGTCGATAGGCTTCATTAGTTCTCGTGCAATAAGCGTTTTCGTGAAGCTCTAAAAATTACAACTACAACATTTCAGCATAGCGTCCATATCGTAAGGTAGGACGTATTCTACGTCAAAAAATGATAATTAATTACCATAGAACAAACCTTGGGTCAGGTATATGTTTTTCATTAGTATTAAATGATATAAAAAAATATATTAATAGAGGTGGTAACCATCGTTCGTTATTTCTGTTTAAAAGCTATTTTAGTCCTCTTTCACATGATACCAAATTTGTTCAATTTTGATAAGCTGTTTGTTTATTATCCAAAAAAAACTTTCGGAATAAAAAATATTAGGCTAAGTTTAACAGGTAAAAAATAACTGTTACTTTCGGTCCCTGGAATATTATGCACGTGCAATGACAAAGCGTATATCTGGCCAGTCACATAAGAAAGGATCAGAAATGAATTACAAAAACTAAAATCGAAAAACGCTGTTGACGTTACTGGCTCTCCACATTCAGAAACAACCAAAAGAATGAGAATGAAGAACTCTTTGGAAAACAACGGTGTTTAAACAACGATCTTGCCATGATACTAGATTGTGAAGATGCAAGTCAGGAGGATACATACGACATTTGCAGACCGATGCAATTCCAAAAAAAAAATAAATAAATATAACTGAAACTCCTCTTGACTGGTGCAGCGTCAATCGAAAAGAATTTACAATTTTGTCAAGTTTCAAGTTTTTCGCAGCGAGCGAGTAGTTTGGCGCAGGTTTGATTTACGACCCTTTAAAAACTTTTTATTGAATACAATGTTCCAATTTTTAAATTCAAGTACTAAAAGAAAATTATTAAAAATTACTAACCTTTCCATTTTTTATTTAACTAAATCACCTAATTTACTCACCTAAGTTATCTCTTAACAAGTAAAAAGGTCTAAGGTTGCAAACAGAGTGGAAACGAAGCCGAAGACGAAGATGAAGACGAAGCCGAAGACGAATTGTTTGCGTTGCGGGCAAGCTGGCGAGTGTACATAGTGGAAGATGAATGATATGAAGATTTGTTTCTAAATAAAACCCTTTTTTTTAGATAAAATCAAAAGAAAATAAAGAAAAAAACAGCAATTCATGAAATAATTTGTATAGGACAACTTTTGGAGAATTTCGCCACTTGTATTAGTTGCGTTCGCGTAGCTGTTAATTGTTCATGTTTAACCAAAACTTACAAGTTTTTGCGTTCGCGTACGCAAAGAGAGCAAAGTGACATTTCATTTTGAGGGGAGCCATGGGCGTAGCCAGGAATTTTTTTAGGTCTTTTTTCGAGGACAATTTCTCAAAAATCAATGAAAAAACGAGGACATTTTTTTGAAAAAAAGTAGGACATATTTATTGACTAGAATATTGGGAGATACTTTAAAAGTATCATTTTTTGGTTTCTCAAAATAGAGAAACATCGTTAGTATATGAAACGAATCAAATTGATTTTATAAATTTTTACCATTGATTTCGCGTTTTATAAAACCAATTTTCTGGGATTTTCAGCAAATTTCCTGAGGACTTCATCTACTATTTCGGTTTTTCTTTCCTTTACCATTTTCCGATACACACTGAGCATGCATAGTCCTGAAAAAAATAAAAACATCGTTATCATATGAAATTAATCAAATTAATTTTCTAAAACTTTACCATTTAGTCGATTTTCGCCCATGGTTGATCTTAGCCAGGTTTTAACACGCCGCAAAGTGCTGAACGACCTTTCTACGTTGCAAGTCGTGCAAGGTAGTGCCAATAATATTTCCAATGCATGTGATACAGCAGGAAAAAAGGTGTCCGCTTCCGTGATTACGTCGCACACTTCCAAATTTTTCATCGCTACTCCACTAAGCTGTTTGTCTTTCCAAGTGTTATACCATAATTCAATTTCTGCACTTAGATCCAATTCATAAAATTCTGAAAATGGCTTGATGTCTTCTTTCAAATCGCCAATACTTTTTTTCAACAATGTATGGATGCAATGTGAGTAGTGAAAATGCAGGCAAATTGGATGACGCGAATCGATTTGCAAGCGATGATATCAACGAATCCAAATACGGAATTAGCAACGATATTTTCCAATAATCATTTGGACTCGATGCACGTTGATTTGAACGATGCTGCTGTCGTTGGGTTAGTCTGGGCATATCCAATTCAATATCAATCGACTTCGCTATTTCTTTTGCCTCGTCTAGAATTTCATCAATCACGGTATCTACAGCGGTTCGATGGCTAGAGATAACAGTTGGTATTCTATCAAGATGGTCTTTGCATTTGAGCAGGTCAAGACTTTTAGATTGAAGACCATTCACGACAAGCTCAAGAATATCCGAATATTTGGCAATTATTGAAGTGCATATGATAAATACAGGTTTCGTTGGTGCAGAGTGTAGCTGAAATGCAGCTGATCGCGTTTTTGCATTGCCTTCGGTGGATAAAGTCAGTAATGCGTTCACGATCTCAACGAAATTTTCTTTAAAAACAGCAATGCTCTTATGTTTTTGAGACCAACGAGTTTCACAAAAGGCGGGTATGTTCGGGGCACACTTTCGCCGTAGCACTGATTCTCGGAAAAATCTTATTATGTCTTTGATGGTGCCAATAGTGTTTCGTACTTCCGGGACCGTGTTCAAATCATTAAATCCAAGGTTCAATCTGTGGCTTGCGCAGTGGAAAAACAATGCTTTTTTGTATTTTTTTCGGATATGTGCTTGAACGCCTCCTTTTCCGGTCATAGCACTGCAGCCATCGTACCCTTGCCCAACGCATTTGTTCGGTTCAAGTTCACAGCTCACGACTGCGCGATCAATTTCATCTGCAATTGTTGGAGCGTCCATCGCATTTAGTTCAGAGAAACCCATGAATTCTTCTCGTATTTTTGCTTGGCTTTTGTCGTAAAATCAATGACAGTTGCTCTTTTCCTGATATATCTGCTGTTTCATCAGCCAAAATGCTGTATGCTGATGCCTTTTTAGCGTCAGCAATTATCATGTCTTTCACTACCTCGCCACATAATGCAATTATCTCGTTTTGACTTTCTGGTGAGGTGTATTTCGCATTTTTTGGTCCTTCTTCAAAGTGTTTTTTAAGAGATTCATCTCCGGCCTCAATTCTCAAGCGAATGAGATCCATGAATATTCCTAAAAATATTATAGAATTTTATCAAAAGACGAAAATATGATAAATTTTAATCTGAAATATGTTACCGGAATCTTCATCTTTTCCTCTTAATGGTGAATCGGTTGTTCCACAAAAAATTATGTTTGATATAATCGAACGGATTATTTTCTTGTTTTCTTCAATTAACTTCTGATGTCCTGTTACCATCTGTAGGTCCACTGGCTT